ACATTGCACCAGGATTGCAAGTCAGCAAACTTCAGACTACACTCTGTAGACTACAAATAGGGCAGTGCAATTTTGTCAAAAGCGGCCACTAAATTCCACAAAGATGGCTAACTCCCAACTGCATTTTCACTTTTCATTTATTGCCTTATGTTAGATTTTGCCTTTAAATAGCTATGTTCCCTTCATTGTATGGATAAGTTCTGAATCCAAAAATTTCAGTTTATAATTCTCCTCTGTTGAGTGAGCTTCGTGAGAGTGGATTCTCTCAATTTATCTCTGTATTTTAGGTCTTGCCAACCTAAGTGGTGAACCTGGCAATCAAATTCATCGTAGTGGAATTTTAAATCTCACCAAAATCGGTGTTTCAGTATTGGCTCCTATGCCAATATATCAAAATACTACATAAATATATTACATGTTGTATCCTATTATTATTAGAAAATACTGTATATATACTAATATATACAAAAATCGATACGGCCACAAACATCCTTCCAGAAGCACAGTCCCATTGATTCAGTACAAACTACGCTGGTGAAAGTCACATGCATATAGGTGTTTCCCCAAATGTATAAACTATAAAGACCTCACAGACCACACAGGTGTCCATCTTGATGACAAGACTGATCTGTCCGGCAGAAATCTTTAATGGCAGGCATAACATCAATGGTGATCATTCTTCTTGTAGTGTCATCTGCTTATCTGATTTAGTTTATAGCTATAGACTTAGGATTAGCATCCGTTTAGCACCAATATGACCAAAAAATAGGAGTTAGTCAAAATAGTAGTAGGTAAAATTGTTTTCAAGACAATCAGGAATTTCAAAGCTTCAGGCCATATATAGGTAGTTTTGCATAGGTAGCAGCAGTCTGGGCGTGTGCCTCCTCTCTATCAAGATACATTTTGAATGCAGAGCGTTTATCCCTTCAGTTTTTGTCTGCAAATTTCCATTTAGCAATTAGTCTATTAACTATTGATTTCTTATCATCGCTTTTGAGTAGTTTTTATTCTCTCAAACAAAATGAATGGTTTAGTAATTTTAGAAATCATATCATATGGTTCAAGTATTACTTTTCTGTTAATTTAACTAACGAAAACCTATGTAAGTGCTTACATTGCACCACATAATATGCTATGTAAGCATCATATTAAACTTTCAACTCCATTTATTTATGCAAAACCTAGACACAAACTTCCAGGTAGATGTTCAGAGAATGAAACATCTTAAAGCATCTGTTTGAAGACACTTTATGAGCTTCCAAGGCAAAGAACAATGCCGCTAAAGAAAGAAAAGTTCAGTATTGTTCTTCACAAATGAACCAATGCAAATTAACTGAAATGCAATCAACAAGTGATGAGTCAAACAATCGGTCACCACCTATGTCTACTCATAAATGTAGTTATGCAGAAATTGAACATTGGAAAGCACTAATTTAAGTAAAAGTAGAGAGACACACCAATTTTTACATGGAAAACCCAATTGGGTAAAATGATAAGGCACTAACCCAGCTCAGAAAATCATCCACTATCAAAACAGCAACAATACACAGTTTAACGGATCAAAATACATGATACCCAAAGTGTTTCTCTCACTTTTCTCTCAATCTCTAGAGAACTACTCTCGCTACACCCAATACAAAGTCACATACTTAAGGACACATTAAGAGTGTTTGGATAGCCAAAACTAACCCCAAAATGGAATAGTCAAACTCCAGTCAAAGCTGGTCAAACTTGGTCAAACCGCCTCTGAGTCCCGGGTTCCAGATTTGGGCCTTGGTTCCTGTACCGTTTAGCATTCTGCACGCCCATCATTGTTAACAACTGTTGGTTGCACCTGATCATGTGACAAATGAACTGATACGTGCATTCTCAGATATGTTCTTCTGCCGTCCTGGTATGACACAAAATAAATTAAAAACAAAGGAACCTGAAGAGAATGTGAATAGCGTACAAAAAAGAGAGAATTTGAGGAATTTGAGGATTCATCAGCTTTGATAAACACTAAAAAATACTGTTAAAAAAAATACTGAAATCCAACTCCAATCATTTTACCTTCTTGATCACATTCTTCATCTGCTCCTAAAAATGAGCAAAGTAACAAGTGAAGGCATATCAGAAGCTCAAAGTGAAAAATGAATTTTTAACATGCTAAATTATGGTTTAACATAGAGACATAAAATTATCAAGTTTATTAGTAATCTATTAAGAACACATGTATTGTTAAGTAAGAAGCCAAACCTACACGAACGTATTGCTGAGGCTCAAACGGTGAAACATATGTTATGTTGCAGTAAATTTGCTATAAGATTTTGGTTGAGCTTCCACTAAAATTCGCCACCACTTTGTAAGACAGTACTGGAATAGTCATGGAGGAAATAAAGGATTCAACTTACGCTTCATATTAATTTGCAACAAGGAACCCCAATATTTTTCAAGAAAGAGTTAATTAGAACAAATGAGACCCAGAAAGGGTAATATTTTAATTTAAAAGCCATGTGGCACTTTCAATACCTTCAACAAGGGTAGCTGAGACAAAAGTTGCACACTTGTCTAGCTAAGCCAATTGTTTGATTAATCCCTGAAACAAACATCTCAATCTTTTCAATATCATTGATTAATGATGATGATGGTTAGCCTTTATAGTCGTTTCCACCATCAACATAATAGGAGATTATTTTTCTTGTGACGTACATTTCTACTAACACAACCTGTGGCATTGTGAGAGACCAAGATTGGATATATTGGGATATATCTACACTGTCAACCCACCAGAGTACAAGTTTTCGCATTTTCAATTAAGGAAAAGCATCGTGAGATGAATACTCAAATATAGTTATTAATGGAGAAAGACTTTATAAAATCCTAGCTAGAAAACAAAATATGAGCAAGAAGGATCATAACCACATGCATGCCATTGATAATACCGTCCTAGAAGCAATTGTTAGGTGCACAGGGATCTCATTGCCAGCTTCTCTTCATTCCATTTGTTGATTTTGTTAAAATTAGTAAAGTAATTTTCTAGAAGGGTTACTGTTCATGAATAGCTCTTCATCTTTCAGTTATGTAAGCATGTGAGATCAAATATGTTTGTGTCAGTTACAATTAGTTTCTTTTGTTTTAGTGGTGTGACAGTTTCTTTTACAGTTTGTAACTGCTTTTCATTTCAGCAATGTTTATGTATTTTCATCATCTTATTTTCTAATATACCAGAAGAAATTCAGTCATACAAGTCTTGTTCCTTTTTAGCCAATTTTGAAGTTCTTTGGTTTGTTTTTCTTCACTAAGGTTGCTGATCTTGGGTTAGTGTGTCTTTGGTTGCACTAAGATTTGTTCACAGATTTCCTGTATATTACTGCATCAACCCAACATTTACACTAATGAAGCTGCAAAGCTGAAGACAAGAGGTCCTGACAGTAACAAAGTGTTAATTTCATGTACGTTACTGCATCAACTATTGCCAACATTTATACTAGTAAAGCTGCAGTGCTCATCAACTAAATTAAGCTTTTTAATTTAACAAGCTACATCTGCAAAGCGAATTCACTTAACTAATTTGCAATCCTAGACAATTTGAAACTTTGATGAGCAAAGAAGGATGTTTATACTTGCATCTGAAATAGTTAAATCTGTTTGTGAGCATCAACAATTCAAAGGAGGCGACATTTATCTGGGTGGGTACCCTATCAGAAAATCACCCTCAGTTCTTCAAGATTTTGGTTTCGGAGCAGGTAAGCTAGCACCTCTGCATTAATTTTAATGAAAATAGATTAATAAAACTGAATTGAACAGTGGAATCAATTAAAGAAAAAAATAAATCAAACTCAAAAAAAGAATAATAATAAAAACAAAAGGTGCAAATTGAATGGAGGGATTAAGGTTTGAAAAATTAAACATACCCAGGGTTCGCCTTGCTCGATATCACCTATTATGATATTGGGAATGTGGGAAATCTTGGACCATTCAAAGCCGCTCTTGTTGGCGCATCTTTCCACTAACTTGGGACAATCCCAAGCATAAAGAAGTTGTAAGTTGGAGAGGCGTCCCATGGCTTCAAGAGAAGGCAGACACATCAAATTCGGGCAATACCGAATTTCCAGCCGCCGAATTGAAGAGAGGTTTCCCAACCATTCTGGCAAAGCTTCCACTCCCTTGAATGAGTATATTTCCAATTTCTTGAGGGCAGTGAGATGTTGAAGTTGATGTGGCAGAGACTTTAGTTTATCCCATCCCCACAATGCTAAAGATTCGAGGGAGGCAATAGAATTGAGTCTTGGTAATGGAAATTCCTCCAAGTCTCGGCAAAAAGGACCCACACGCAACTCCTTCAAGCTAATTGTGAGGCCGCCTAAGAACTCCTGAATTCTCAATTTATCACAATTTTGAATAGTCAAAGAAGTAAGAGAATGCAGTATTCCGACATCTTCTGGAATAGAGATTAGATTGGGCACATTGTAAATAATCAACTCCTGGAGAGAAATGCAAGATCCAAGCCCAGTTGGTAATTCCTTGCAGCCTCCAAGCTCTATTCTTTTAAGAGATGACAGCCCATCTATGTTTGGAATGACCATCAGATTCGGACACTCCCATATACTCAAATTAGAGAGCTTATGATTGGATGAAAATCCACCCATGGACCAAATCTTCAACTCTGGACAATCAAAAATAACCAACTCCTCAAGGCCAGGAAAAACGATCTCAACTTCGCCTCCTGCCGCTGTATCCTCATCAACTTCAACCCATTCCTCTAGCTTTTTCAAGTGCCACATCTTGAGTTTCTTCAAAGCTGGGAACAATGTGATTGATTCTACCCCAGTGGATTGATTCCTCACATAAAGCTTGTGACCCATTTTTCTTACTTGTGTCATATAATCAATGTGAAGAACCTTGAGACTAGGCAATAGTCCCAGACTTGGAATACACGTGCATTCATAGCAATGTAATAATTTCAACTCCACCAAGTTGTTGAGAAGAAATGAAGAACCAGAACAACCGATGCTTCTCACTAACCATGATGGGAAGTTCTTTCCTCGGTAGTTCTCAATGGTTAAGCTTTTCAAATTTGAGTGAGGTTCAAGACTTTCTATAACCTCTTCATCATTGATGTTGCCTTTTCTGTCTACATTCCATGTAAATTCCAATTTGTACAATTTTTTTTCTCTCAAGTTTGCTTTAGAGGCTTCGAATTTGGATCTTGCACAATCAAGATGGGAAATTGCTAGTTCTCCTCTTAACTGGTTTAAGCATCCAATTTCTTCAACCCATATCCCTTTTTTGTACCCACACAAAATTTTGATAATGTTTGAAGGGAAGTTAACTGTTGAGTAGAGACATAGAATGGGGGATAAGAATATATATGCCTCAAGCTGATCAGATTTGCCCCATCATCAGGAAGCTTCTCAATAGAATTGACATTAAAAGTCTGCAAATTGGTAAAGCTTGGAGAAGGATTGTGGTGGTACTTTGACGCTTGTTTCTGAGGCATCAAGGTACCTCAAATGCTTCAATTTGTTGAGTGAAGGTGTCAACTCTATCTTCTTACCTCCCTTTAATAGTTTTAAAAATCGTAAGTTTCTAAGATCTAATGCCATGCTACAGAAAACATCAACATTTGAAAATAATGAATGCAACCTTTGAGCAATACTCCTTGGAATGGTTGGAAGAACCTCTCCATCATACTCAACTCTCAAATGTTGAATAGTAGAATTCTCATCAATATTGCAACTGGTATCCCAGATCAAGGTTTCACCTCTTGAAACAAGCAATGCAAGATCATGCACAAGATATCATGCATTTTGCAAGATTTAATATTCCCATACAAATCACATTCAATATCTTGGAATAAACAATTGGACAACTCATTGAAGTAGTGGTTGCCTATATCCTCCATTGTCGCAAGGCTAGTAGATTTGTGGAGAAAACCTTGAGCCATCCAGAGTTGAATTAAATCATTTTTTCCGATAACACAATCCTTCTGAAAAATTGAACAATAAGAGAAGCACTTTTTCAAAGGTGAAGACAAACGATCAAAACTTATTTTCAATATGGATAATATCTTATTATTTTCATCTTGTGATATCCATGCTTTATCATCTCTAATCTCCTTCCACCTATCAGCAGAAATTTCACTACCCAATGTTCCTCCCATGACACTTGCAACTAATGGCAACCCTCCACATTGTTTTGCAATATCTTGTCCAATACCTTCTAAATCCGAAGGTATTGAAGTTTCTATGGAAGATCTGAGAATAGTATCCTCAATTATCAACCAACATTCATGATCAGATAGCTTCTGCATATCATGCCTGTGCATGGGAAGTCTCTCCATCATAGATGATACCTTGACATTGCGAGTTGTGACGAGAATGGAGTTCCCAGTGGTTTTTGAAATTTTTGACAGACGAGACTCAAAACTATCCCACTTGTCTCTTTCTTCATTCCACACATCATCGAGAACGAGAAGAAAGTTTTTATTTTCTAACAATTTTCCAAGCTTTTGAATAAGTGCATCCATATTATTCATTCGACCAGCACTGCTATCAAGGTATTCTAACATATCTCCTAATATTATTTGTTCATCAAAATTCTCAGATACACAAACCCAAGCCACTAAATCATACAACTTTTTTTCTTTTGCCATCTCACATATTGATTTTGCTCATGTTGTCTTCCCTATGCCCCCTAAGCCTACTACTGAAATGCCAGAAAGGAGATGTTGACTCCTCATGTTATCCAACATGTTGACAATGTTTAAGACATCAGCATGCCTTCCAACAAATTTTGAACAATCAAGGATGGAGTCTGTCCTAAATAATTGCCTAGCACTGGTAGTGGAACGACTCTGATCACCAAGTCCAATAAGCAGAACAAAAACCTCATTTTCTTTGATCTTAACCAGAGATTGATTAATCTTTCTAATTTTATCAGCCATGTTGAGACAAAAAACAGTGCGATTGAAAAGAGAAAACAAGGTGCACACCTGTTCCCTCCTTCGACCTTGAGACTGGACTTTGTGCTTAAGAACCTCATAAGCATATTCATCGAGTGCATCCACAGCTTCATAAGCTACATCATTGAGCTGCTGTAACCAAATCCTTACAGCTTGATTGCTTTCCTGCCTCTCTTCAGCGGCTTGGAGAACTCCTTTGATGAAAATTAGCCTTTCAGCAAGCTCCTTCAGCTCCTTCTTCAAACCCCATGCCAGGCTGATCCGTGCACCAGCAAATGAAATTGCTTTGGAAATTGCATGCTCTATGAGAGGGTTAACGAAGTTGAGGACGACTTCAGCCATGGTGGTTAGAGATACAGAGAGTTGACTGCAAGCACAAATAGTTCTAAGAGAGAGAGAGAAACGGTGATAGTGTTGTGAGAGCAGGGCAGGGCGGCTTAAATAAAGATTGAACGTTATCTCAAGCCGTGGAAACAAATAGGAAGTCAGGGTGCATGGTGGCGGGCAAAGACTAGTCTTTAATATGAAGTTACGTCCATTTATAAGTTATAACTACTATTGTATTTGTTAGGTGTAAAATTTAAATTTTATAATTAATATTTAATAAAATTAATTTATTTAAATATATTAAATTAATATAAGAAATATATTGTCAAAATTATTTTAAAAAATTAATTTTAATGTACATAAAAATTAATTTGAAGGCGTTCGGACGGTAAATTGTAAAACACACAAACAAAAGAGTAACTTTCTTAGTCATTAGTTTAAAAAAGAAGAAAAAGTAAAGCTACACTAGAAGTTATGGGTTTCGGTTGGAATTTGAGAGGATCAGTGATAAAGTTATGGGTAAACTACACTAGAAGTCACTCAACTTAGTCATAACTTTATTTCAGCCGCTAAACTTTAAACTTATAAATTTAGTCACTAAATGTAAGTTTAAGGTTTAGCCGTTAGTCACAGAACGTTAAATTTTTTCCGTTTAGTTTTTGCCCTGTCAACAAAGCCTACATGTCAATAAATATGACGTGGCATGAAAACTAGGATGGAA